TGTTAAGCTGTTCGAACCTGAAAGAAGGGCATAGTTATCCAAGATGGACGGCCTGAAATGAAGAAGAAAAAGCAAAGTACAGTAAACTCCATTTAAGATTGACACCTTTGCGACTGCATTATGAGTCTGTCTTAGAGCTGAGACGCAGGGGTGGATCCAGGATTTTTTTATGAGGGGTGGATGATACCAATCGCCCACCAAACTATACGTTAATTTATTTTGTGTTGTCCCACGTTTGTCCCTAAAAATGGTGATTTAGGAAGGACAAGGGCTGGTTGGTTTCACAAGGTTTTTACGACCTACATATTTCTATATTTTTTGGGGGACCCACGTATTTCCTTTTGTTTTTCCACGCATAATGTTTTTTTGGTGGGCTGTTCTAAAGATGGGTGGCTAGCCACCCAAACCACGCTCTCTGGATCTGCCCCTGAGATGTTTGTCTTGTTGAGAGACAACTGTTTAATTAAAGGGAGTAAAGAAAGGCAGGCACCAACTTTAAGTGTGTCAGGGGTGAGAAATTTTCCTTGATGTGGGAGATCAATTCCTTAAATCTGTAGGTGTGAGACTCACATACATTCTTCGGTGATGCAAACGAAATGGCAGGATATTTGATGATAAAACAAATTTAGACATTACACCCACAAAATATCAATAAGCTTCAAAATAAAATGGCCATCAACAAAACCTTTAACAAACCGGATCTGATTAACCACTGTAACCAATCCTTAACCTTTTGCCATTTAGTGAAACATAGGGGTTGATCCGATCCAGGTTTTGTTGATCCCTGAATAAATTGCAATGAGCTTGTAGATGATGTGTTTAAAAATTACCAGTTCATCTGCTCATGTTCAAGCTTGACCAGAAATGCCTGGATAGATTCCTTTAGCTCCTGAACACGACTTGTGACCGCTTCCAATGAAACCTCTAACAACTTTTCGTCCTTTTAAGACAAATTACAGCAAGATCACTGGGTTACATTGGCTGAACCACTAGAGTACAGTTAGTACATCATGCGGTCGGCTGTATCATAGTACATGTATGTGTCAATATCAAGCTGATCTTAGCATGAATCTTCCCTAAAAATAGCCAGGCTTACATCAGGTGAATCTACTCATACCTGCATGTTTAGAGTTTTTCATTTACCACAGTTTTTTTGTTCATGTTTTCGTTGTGGCTTGTCAATGATCCCCCATGTCTGCGCCCGCGATCCCAACGTCGCGGTATCATTTCCCCATGCGCGCGCGCGCGTAATAGTATTCAAAAAAACATGGCGGACCATCTGATGAAATGTCAAAGACTGCAAAGACTTCAAAATGCAAGGTGACCGTAGTTCTCCTCGCTTCCATTTACCTAGTTCTTACAATTTATGCACTTAAAGTCCTTCTGTCGAGCGAGGATGAAGCAGCATTTCCAAAACCAGTGACAGTTGTCGCGCAGTCTACCCAAAAAGTTGCCAATGCGTACAAGTCAAGACCGTCGCAACATTCCATTGATGTAGAAATTTTGGGGAAAGCGGCCATTGGGTTGTACCTTTGGGAGCATATCCTCGAGGGCCCTTTAGAGGAGAGGCTTGGAGGAGTGTGGAGTTATGGACAAAAGCAGATTCGTAGTGTGCGGTTCACCTTTCGCACTGGCCCAGGCGTTGTTCCTGAGAAAGTCCCAAGACAGGCTAGAAATGTTGTGCTCGTTGTTAACGGACGAGAGCCAAAAAAGGTTGAGTTCGCGCGAGCCTGGCTTGATTCCCTTAAAAATCTTCCAAATCTTCGTCATGTAGCAGTCGTAATTTTGGGAAATGAACGGTGCGAAAATGATTGGTTGTTTCCATACATGCAAATCCATGGCGGACTTGTTCAATTTGCTTTTATTGTTTATGACATCCCGTACGCCGATTCAAAAACCTTTTACCAGTGGCCATTGGGAGTAGCCACGTACAGGAATTTCCCTAATGTCTATTTTATGTCTGTTGATGCTCAAAAACGGCGAAAATTTAGGTGCAATTTTCTAGGTACTATTTATCCCAATTCTTCTCGTGTTGTGCTGCAACGGGTTATAAATCAGTTTGGTCTTGACAATGTCTGTTTTGTGAAGACAAGAGATAGCTGGGCACCAGCCGAGACAGCTGAATCAGCTAATGACTTCCGTTATGCTTTAGCTAACAGTGACTTGACTCTCAATCCTGTGGGAATGAATACTGAATGCTATCGCATATACGAAGCTTGTTCTTATGGATCAGTGCCAGTGATTGAAGATGTGGTTACACCTGGAAGATGTAAAAAAGATACAATGTCTCCTTTGAATCTGCTGAAAACTTTCAAGGCTCCCTTTATTTATCTCAAGGATTGGAGAGACCTACCCAAGATCATAGAGAATGAGATGCACTTATCTCATGAGGAAATTGTTAACAGACGGCTTAAGATATTATCTTGGTACAAAACCTTTAAGGATACATTAAGAGACAAGTTTGTTGATGTAATACAAAATACATTTTCCCAATAAAATGTGGATGGCCGAGCTCTTAAGATTTTTATTGCCTGGGACCAGGCTCGTTGGTGGAAGAAAGTTGCGCTTGGCTGATTTCGCTAGCTGATTTTTTTTGTCCTTTTCCATTTTCCCCCCACTGCAGAACCTGGTCCCAGGCTTGTTTTTTCATCAGTGTACACCTCTGGACAGTTTTGCAGCCGACATCTCTTGGGCCATGTTGATGGATGATGAGAACAAAAGTATTTCCCCCAACTGGGAACTAAACAATTCTGCCAAAAGAAAAATTAAAATTGTATTGTTTTGTCCACCAACATGGCTGCCTTGTCATGTTAGCAAAACTTGTACTTAAGAGGTTCGCAAACAGGAGGCTAGTGAAATGACTCATAGATGGCCACCTTTAAATGGCTGGAAACCAACAATTGTTTATTGCCAGCCTGCAAATACAGGTAATGTTTACAGATGCATTTCCTAGAAATTCGTCTGGCTCACTTATGCAAGGTTGGTGAAAATTTTGGTGGGGGAGAAGCTAGTGCAAGCTCACAAAAACAGTTAGAAGAATAGGGCAAAGAAATAACTTAGGACCTTGGCAGCGTTTCTTTGTCCCATGTAGTTTGCCTGTTTCACCAGCTCATAATGGCAGCTCCACCGATAAGATTTTCTCCAAACTCGCACAAGTTAGCCTGAAGTGAAGAGGGAAAATTAAAACAAAAACTTTGCATTTTTAAAATTTTTTATTTGTATGTTTTGCTTTGTTGACCTTTTTGTTCCATCATTGGGTAACTTTGCTAGCTTGCGTGGCAGGCTTCCTTCCTATCCCCTACCCCCTACCCCTTTTGACACCTGCTACGCAGGCTATAACTTTGCTGGCATTATTTTACCCCTATTAATTACATGTACATTACACTACTCAGTAAGGCTTGTTGGAGCTTGCTGTTGTTGACAGAGGCTTTTCAATTTGCGGGGAGAATCTACTGAGCAAATCGAGTGCAAGTAGATTTGGAGGACATGTTGTGGTTCAATTTTATCCTTGGTTTAAATTTCATTTTCTCTTGTTTCAAACTCATTATCAAACCAAAAACAAAAGGAAATAAAAATTTAAACCAAGGATAGAACTGAACCACTTCATATGCACTTTGTGTTTTAGAAATCCTTTAAAAAATATACGTAGTGTTTTGTTAACAGTACGAAAATAGTCCGAGTGTTACTGGAAGCAAAGGTACTGCAGTTTCGTTTCTGGACAGCGGACTCACCCATGAAAAAAGAATTCATTGAACCAACATGGTGGACGATTTTGGTTGAAAACGTGTTGAAGCGTAACACAATTTGAGTCATTTTACTGTGCTGGTTTATTTTGTTATCGATGGAAAAAGTTAACGTTTCAGGTACTGCATCAACTTGGCAAATTGTAACGTTTTTCAGGAAAACATAATGTTTGTCGGAGAAGAGCCTGAAAGAGGGGTAAGTGATCACGAGGGACGTTTCCTCTTTCGAATCTGTTTCCTCTCGTTTTATATTATTACAATGTCACACATATCGGTATAATATTGAAAAGAAACTTCGATATCCAATCCTGGAATACTGATAGGCAAAAGTTCACGTATATGTTATCCTTATTAGAATATACTTTAAACGATATTTTACCGAAGCGCCGGCCTCCAAAATTACATCATTTATTATTATTATTCTTTCAAAATATTTCTCCGTTTCTGATTGGCTAAAAGCGCACGCATAATTCACCATAACCAGCTACTGATGACCACATTTGGAAGAATTTTTTGTTTAATGAACCGATGACGTCAAAAATGCAGCCTTCTTGCAGGTTAATGCACCGTTAATCGAGAAGACCTGGGGACGAGGTTGAGTTGTTTTGGTTGTGAAAACAAAAATGGCAGACATTTCACTTGTTTTAAGTGTAAGAACTTAGGCCCTGCCAGGGGGCGGTCCCATGTTGCCTGTCTGAATTTTAAAACGTCTCGTGTCGGTGTTTATAAATGCTTGTCGCTTATTGTCGGCTTTGCCGTCACTGTCGCAATTTGGCCAAGGGAGGTTGTCCCTTGTCGCGATTTCATTTTACGCGCTGTCGCTACTTTTTGGGCCATGTTGCTTGTCGGAATTTACCCTGGCAGGGCCTCAGAACTAGGCGAAATAATAGCTAAAAATATGGCAAGAACAGCAAGAAGACAACTCGAAGGGCAACATCTGCTATTTGGAGAATATTTGCAGAGCTGAACAACCCTAAACATACACTATCGAAGAAGAACTTAACATTGATGGAGGCAAGCATGTTTTAGCTATGTTTTTAAACTAGGAATTATTTTAAATGAATAATAAAACAATTAGTGAATTTGGCTTTCGTATTGTATGAAGGATTATGGAGATCTGCCCCCTCCCCCCCCCAAGACATAAGCGTACCAATATCCTCAGGGTGACAATCAAGACAGTGATGTTAAACTCATGTTAATTTGAGTTTTATTTTTGTTTTCTCTCTCCAGGAGGATGCTCTGGATGTGTTCCTTCTAATGGGAAAGGAGTACAGAATATCTAGGAGTATTCGAGCACAGTGGTTCTTTCAGCAATTTAACTCCACCCTCCCCTCCCCCAAGCCAAAAGATGAGTTGGTAAGTTTCAAATTAAATTAAAGTTGTTGAATGTCTGCTAAGAACTTTATTGTAAATTTCATTATAGTGAAGGGGTTATTAGAGTTTTCTTTTAAAAATGGGCATGGAAAAATTAATAACATTACAGTAGAACCTTAATAATTAATTCAAACTCCCTGCTAACTCGATCTAGATCCAGTTTCCCTTGGATTTCACTCCACTTTCCAGTCATTTTTACGCAGTTAACTCAAATTCGGATAAATCTAACTCCCCACTAACCTCGCTAACTGGAACTAAATTTCCTTTCCTTTGATCACAAATTTACCCGGATAACTCAAAATTGAGGTTCTTTTAACTCCACTTGGATGCCATCCCATTAGAAGGGTTGAAACACGAAAAGTTCTAACAATGGACAAAACTAAAGCAATTTGATTTAATTGCTAAAACAAACAGATCATGGTATATCATAAATAATGCCTTATCATGTCAGCTGTCATGTGGCCTTTTCTGAAGAAATAAGTTTAATATACACTGCACCAACACTGAAGTGCTGAAAATCAGCAACTATCAATTTTTAACATGACAAATTGAATTTTCCAATTGACCCCGATAACTAGAACCCCCGCTAACTCAAACTGCTTGTCATTTCCTTTCAGAGTTTGAGTTACTAGGGTTCTACTGTATGTTAAAGTTCTCCATGACAGGTTACAAACACAAGGAGGGCAGGGCTTGTACAACTTTGATTCATCTTGATCATTCTTATACTTTAGATTTAAAAGCCAGTCAGACAGCCGGCGACCCTGCTCTTTTTTAGAAAATTGTACTGGAGAGACTAATGTGCAAGAACTATCCAAAACTGTTTAACTTCATACGACTGGCAGGTGTACTTGTATTTATGGCGTGTTCTTTCTTCTAGAAATGGAGCCATGGATGTTGCAGATTAATGAAGTGAATGTTAGTCCTTGAAAAATAAGTTCCATCCTTGAAACTTCCTTGTGAAGTTGATTAAATTTTTTTGTCTGACGTTGTATGAACCATGTCTTACACAGGCCTAATTGGATGGGTTAAGAACACCTGTTAAAACAATATGCCACTTTTTCAGTTTGTGGCAATTCTTATACATGTACAGTCTGAATTCATGTTTTTTTTTCTCAAAATGTCATTTTTTGTAGGTCTTTGTTTTGTTGCTTTTAAGGAGAATTGTACACATGAACATTCCATAGTCTGGAGTAATAATAATAATAATAATAATAATAATAATAATAATAATAACTTTATTAATCTCCTCTAAAAGGCTTTTTAGCTTAATTTACAATGTCAAATATCTAAAACTTAGTTTTCCAAAATACCCTCAAAAAATGCTGTTTTATTTTTACTTTAAATACATCTAAATTCGTGATAGACTGAAACTCGTCTGGGAGACTATTCCACAGCTTTTGACCTCTGAAGGTAAACGCACGCTGACCTGGAGCCATCCTACAGAGTGGTATATTTAGGCGGTCCCTATTCCTAGTGTTGCAGTTGTTTACTTGTAAACATTATTATTGTTTTTCTTGTAGATTGGGTCAAATGAAGAGCTGGAAGTATTGTCAGTCATTCCAAATAATCAGCGGAATCCAGGACCTTACAGACTTGTACCCTCAACTCATATCACGTTTATTGGCAGGCGATACCGATTTGTTTTTTGCCTTGATATCAGCCCATCATTGGCCACAGTGGTAAGGTTATGCCATCAGTATTATTTATTGTCTTTTGAAGGTAGCTATCCAGGGGTGTTACTAAGAGCTAACATGAGCATGATCCCCAGCTACTTTCAGAAGAAACAAAAGGAAACAAGAACCAAAACAACTTCATAAAGTTTTGTTCAATTAAGTTCACGTACTAATAATTAACAATAAGTGAATGGGGTTGAGCAAAAATGCTATCTTGATTTGTCAGTGTTGAGCTGATCAATTATTACTTGCCAAAGCTGAAGGCTGGGGCAAATAATTGATCCGTAAAAACCGAGTTTAATAACTGCTTTATCATCCGATCACCAAGTTTATTTTTTAATGAATATCTTCGGGAAGCGAAGTGACCTGTTATTTTTCATGCAAGAGCGATCACGGAAAGGAGAAAAGCGTGGTTTTGTTTATGCATGCAACCAAACACAGTTGGATGACCAATGATGACCAATAATGGCAGACCATTATTTGTAGGCAGTTATTTGCAGGTCACGTGGTGGGCTCTTGGCCAATGAAAAAGAAGAACAATTTGCACGAAGTCATATTCTTTCTGTTTTTTTTTTAGGATATCCAATCAGGCACTGTTATCACAGATGAAGCATTTGAAAAACTGAAGAACTGCCTTTGTGGTCTTGTTGCTCCAGTTAGTACTGTATTCACTGCTATGTTTTTTTTATCATGCACCTGTTGTGGGGTCATTTTTCTATAATTATTTGGTTCAGTTTTCTTTGTGCTCAAGTCTCTTCTGCGAATTGCCAGACAATGGAGTCGTGAAAAGTTTGCAATTTTGTCTCTAAAGTCTCGGATATCTATTTTTCAATTTCCGAACAGTTTTGTGTGCCAGGAAACTCTATTGTGCTGTCTCCAGAGTTGTACATCACTGTGCTGGCGTATACATCCATCTTAAATCCTGAAGTGCCACAGGTATGTGTGAAAAGTGTTGGAACAGGTACCTTTTATTAAACTCAGGTGTTTGTCTATGTAGTTTGGTTTGTGGAATTTTTGTAAGATAAGAATCTTCAAACCAGCATTTCAAACTCATAAACACAGAAGAGGAAGCAAAGGATAACTATTGTGTGAGACGTTTTAGCCCGTGTGACAGCACTGAAAAGGTGGAGGGCAGATCCTGGAGGGGGAATATTATTTTTAGAAATCATAATATGGGGTGTGCCCACCCCCTTCTTGCCCCAGCTTTTGCCCTCCCTTCATAGGCAGCTACCCTTTGCCCCTTCAAATTTCTGGAGGAGGTTCGGCCACATACAGATGTAACCACCATAAAATTTTGTAAACTTCTTTTAAGGTGATGCTACACTGGACGATTTTCAACGATGGTTTTTAGTGCAACACAGCATCACTGACAACATTGTTGCGACATCATTTCGAAAGGTTGCAACATTGTTCCAACATTTGAACCCTGTGTTGTGCTAAGAATCGTTGTTGCGAATTGTCTTGTGTCACATCACCTGTAGTTTTGTTTTTTTTTTTCAAAAATAATTTGATCAAATTAAGAAACTACATAATGTTGTGAATTTCTGGTACTTTTTGATGTGCATAACTTGCAATGCTGAAAATAACAATAATATTACTAGTTTGTAATCCAAACACTATGAATTGTTTCATGGTCATTTAACTTTAACTCCAAGCAAAATAAAGAGATAAAAGTTCCATGCGTTTATCAGTGACATGTTTTTGAAGTTTCCAATACCCATCATCCTCTCAGATTTAAATTATTGGAAATGTGCATAATTTTTGATAAGTATGAATGTCAATAATAAATATCATGTCCTTTTCACAGGAAAAAATAATGGATTCCCATTTTTGGATATTTTAGGGTATTTAAAGAATACCCATAAAAATCACAAATTTGGCAAAGTGAGACAAGTCCCAACCAGGGAATTCCCAACCAAGTTCCCTGATTGGGACTTGTCTCACTTTTCCAAACTTGGGATTTTTGAGGGTATTCTTTAAATACCCTAAAATATCCAAAAATGGGAATCTGTTATTTTTTCCTGTGTTTATTATTTAAACTTCTTCCTTTAAGGTTCTCATTCAAGGTTGTCTGGTGACAGAACAGAATGTAAATACTGTGCTAGAATTGATTCAAGACCAGCTGAAAGGTTTAGAAGACTTCCTTGCTAAGACTACCTCTACATTACATGGCTATGATGGCAGTGAGGAGGTAAAGTTTGCTCAGAAAAAATAATTATATATATCTGTGTGATTTTGCTAAAAGGTGCCTGCCCAGTTTTCACCCAATAGCAAAATCCACTAGCCTGGGCTATCGGACACGACTTTCTTTGCACGCTGCTTATTTGGATTTCATATGTTTTATTGTAGCCCATACATATCAGCGAATCAGAATGTTGGATTTGCATTTGAGTACTGTTTAGTAGACTTATTATTATTTTTTTTATCATGATTATCCCATTTTCAGAGCAATAAAGCTGAAAGTGACCAAGGGGGGAGGCATGAGGATTCAGTGACGCTCATGTCCCCCGAGGCTGGACCCATCGCAATAATGCGGAACACTCTTCTGGCGCTTCAGCTGCTTCCCTGCAATGCAAGTGCAGGTAACATTGAGCTCTTGAAATCCTGAATTAGAGGAAATGTGGCAGATGCAGGGTTTTCAAAAAGTTTTGAGATTTAGCCCATTTTTAGCTCAAAACTTGAATTTTTCTTATTCGTAGTATGGTTTCTGGGGCATTTTACACCTATTTAGTCACTGACAAAGATTATTTCTGGCATCAAAATGATGATCGCAAATTTTGATAGTTTGTACTTCATGTAAGACTTCATATAATGTCCTCAGTCATTCCCATATTTATCGGGGGTGGGGAGGGGTGGGAGGATTCATTAAATTTGGGGGAGGGAGTAGTGAAAAAGAGAGGCTCTCCAGATTTTAGTTCTCCAGAGGTTGGCATCTCTGTTAGAATAGAAGACCATCTTGCATAAATTTCTATCAGCTTTGTTTTGTTTTTGATCAGGGGCTGTTGTGATCACTGATGGGGTATTTGCACTTCCTGATGCTTCAGCAGTTGATTCTCTTTTGGCGCAGTTCAGAGCCAGCACTGTCTGCTGTTCTTTTATTAAAGTTGGAAGTGGTTTTCATGCCCACTGCAGGTTTGTATTTTTTGACAGTAACAAAAAAACATAATACAGATAATTAATTTCATGAACAGAATTATAGAAGTGGAATTATTCACGTTATTACATTTTGAAAGAGCATTACTTTCATATTGCTCATACATGGGGATTATCAACTAGCTCTTCTAGTTGATTTAATTTCTCCACAAAACATTGAATTCTGTATTGAACACTTTAGCTTTTAAAAATGATAAATTCTTTTAAGGATAACATAATATTAATATGAGTATACTTTGTTTGAGCCAGTTTAAAATATTGTGCGTGACACAACAAAGGAATGCTACCTTGCTGAAAGAAAGCCTCTCCTCATGATTTTCAGCAGTTTAACCACTTTAAGTATTAGAAGATGTGTCCATGTGCATGTATGCTAGTTCTCAAGTGAAAAGAAAGAGCTTTTATGGAAAAAGTGAACTCCAGATGTTTTTGTTGATTTCTGGTGGCCATATCTGGGGTGTCTAGAAAACACAGACCTTGAAAACATACACTGTGTTTTCTAGACACCCAATTTGTGTACCAAAACTGTACACAAATATGACATCTCCATTCAAAGCTCTACAATGGTGCGTGAAATGTGGGGCACAAAGACCTGAGACTTGGAGAATTTGTTTATATATCAGTCTTTTGTAACATTTCATTTTCTTGGCTTCTTCCACTGGACAGTTTCCAATTAATTTTTTGTGCCATGTTTATTGCGTGACAGTGAAAATGATCTATTGTCTTTTATTTCTTCTCAGCCTTGCTTATGTTCCACACTGCGACCTGATGCAGTTCATTGCCATGGCAAGCTCAGGAGCTTATCTTGCTAGTGCTCCCCCTGTGAGTAATAAAAATGTCTCCACGTGACTCAGCATAATTGCCGGAAATTTAAAATAAGCACAGGGACTCCTGATTCAGCTTTTGTTGGAGTGAGAAAGACATGCGAGAATAAGGATTGTTTTAACGATAAATGTTACTATGAGTTTCCCAGACTGTAAAATTGTTTTTGTGTAGCATCAAGATTCAAATTTGCTCTAAATAGTATGGGAAGCCAAGAAGTGGTACGGTCAAAGCACACCCCAGACTCAGTTCACTACTAAACAATACAGGAATACCAGTCAGAGTCAGTTGGTTTTGAAGTGCCATTTGAGGTATCCCCAAATCAGATCAGTACTGAATCAAATGCTGTAGGTTTCCCTGGGTGTGGTTTGTTGAAAAGACAAATTCAATACACCTTTAAATATACTCAGATTGAAGGGAAATATTTCAGTGGCATAATCTATCCTGGAATTTGTTTTTAGCAGACAAACAGTACTTGTTGTGTACATAGCCTGTTCCAGGCTTTCAGAATGTGGGGACTGTGCAAAAAGATGTGATCAGAAAAAATGGTGAAGGGTTAGGGTAGGGGACCCTCTTCCCCTTTTGCTCTTTATTTTTTTCTTGCTCTTTGACTTCATACCGCGCTCCACTATCTGAACGCTGGGAACAGGCTAACTCATACAATATACACATACTTTTATTAGTACTAGATGCCACAGGATTCCCATGCTGTGATTTAAGTTTGAATTGATAAGGGCTATTCCTTTACGCTACTCTGCACTGCTGTACTGTTTCACTTATTAGGTTTGCATCTTTTTCCTTTTAATTTAGTTTCTTTCTTTTATGAATTTAGTTTTTTTATTTTCAGCCAGCAGTGAAAAAAGAAAATAGTTTGAATAGTTAAAAGAACATGTATTTGTTATTATTTTTTGTAAATAAATAAGTAAATAAGTTTTAAAAAAAAGAAAAAAGAATTGATAAGGGCACCTCAGTAGACAACAGAAGTTTTTCTTGTCATTTGTTTGATTGTTTTTAGGTCTCAAGAGAAGCTAAGGGTGCAGATGGAGGAGGTATTTATTGCTTACTGTTAAAAGAATAATTGTACTTCAATCTTTAATTTATTAGTGTACATTTTGTTAGTCGCATTAGCAATATTATAGTTAATGCAATGTATGATCATTATCATTTAATATGTATATGTCCTCTAAGATATTGTTTTATTATTCCTTTCTCTGAGTGTATGTACATTTGTTCATGCTAGATTTCTTTTGAATAGTTTGTTTCTTCATTATACTCGTTAAGTCTTTGTGCTAATGTTTATTTCAAACCTAATTCCCCTCTCCTCAGAAACCAACATCTTAAAAAATTGAAATTAGTTATGGAATGGAAAATAAGATCAATGTGCTAGCTCTTAATCATTACTTGCTTGCTTATTTATTTATGTATTCATTTATTTATATAAATAGATAATTGTTTTTGTATGTTCTTTTTTTTCTACAGAGGACTTCACCATGAATCTATACCACAAGGCTCTTCTCTGCTGGAGCTTTCAAAGAGACTTTGATCTAAGCAAGATTGATTCATGGATAGGTAGATGTTGATTCATACATGACTTGTCAAAAACGGCCTCTACCTCTTCTATAAGTATATAAGATTTCTGTACTGGCTGGCTTTACAAGCTTTAGTTTTCCTGGTCCAAAAGCCCCAATCCTACACCTAACATGTAAAAGGTCAGAGGTCAGAGGTCAGACCTGACCTTTGTTTCATTTGCTGTAGTGTAATTTTTCTTTCTTTCTTTTATGATCGAAGGTGATTGTTTAGAATTGAGCAGTGAGGATTTAGCCTGGGCATTTAAAGGCAAAAGGTAATAAGTGATTTAAAGGGTCTGTTACAATGTTCCAAATCACTTATTGTTTTGTTTGTCAGTTGTTTTTAGTGCTGGGCGAGGTGGTCTATTGGTTTTGATTGTCCATCACGGGTCATTCTTGAGTCCTGGTCCGGGCCGTTGTGTTGTGTTCTTGGGCAAGACATTTAACTCTTACTGTGCCTCACTCCCCCCGGGGGGTGTATAAGTGGGATAGGTTATCGCAGTGTTCTCCTTATTAGGCACTAAGCGATAAAATTTACTGCTTGAAGCAACACTTCTTACCGCCTGCTACCACTTGAGGGTTCACTGAAACTAATTTTTATTAAGTGGTTTTAAAAAATACGCAAGTTGTGATCCGATCTGATTCTCACCAGGAAGTGAATGAATATGTGGAAAAGCACTAAAGTATACACAGAATCATTACCAGAAGCAAACATCTTAAATTGTTGTCTAAAGATAACAACGGCCAATTTGTGTAAAATAGGTCTTAAAATGAGGGAATGACGTTTTTAGAGAACTTAGCTACTAAACCTCCTAGTACAGGTGGGGACACGTCCCTCACTCCACTATCCCCCCCCCCCCCAAGGAAAGTCCCCCTCTGGCAAAAAATTTTTCCCTTCCCGGCCATAAATGGCCAATTCCCTCCTGGGCCAAAATTTTGGGGGAACCCTGTGGGAANGCTTTAGCCTTCATCATGTCTTGTAGCGGTTGCACATTTTACGACTTTGTTTGAATGGTAACAGGCTGACAGGGCAGCTTATCTTAATTTCATCCACAATGCCTCTATGCAGAACCTCTGAAGTGTCGGAAATATCGTAATAAATTATGTTTGTTTCAGGTCAATGTCCTATGCCCTGAGTGAGTGGGAAAAGAATGCGATGCAGCCGTCAATGCGTAAAAGGCACCTTGAGACCAAACTTCACACCAGTATCACCAGGTATCTTACACTTCTTCATAAATGGACTCTTTTATCATCAGGACTACCAATTTCAAGCAAAAAGGGCAATTCAAAATTTGAGTTGTGTAGGAGTTGCTCATTAGGTCTCTCCTGATTAGTCGCAGAAAACAATGACCTGTCATTCTTTCAATTGTTTCAGTATTGTTTGGGGTCAGGGTTAGGCACCATTGGTGACTTCTCTTCCGAGCAGCTGCTACATGACCCCAAAATTTATTGTGATTTTTTAAGCAGTAGTTGTTGTGGACGTCTACCCAATCCTTTGAAGGCTTAAGAATCAGCATCACTATTCGTCTACACACGAGAACGATATTTATCCAGTTACGAAATCTAAACTGTGCATAGCACAAGCGAGTGGCAAACAACTGCGGGTCGCTTTGCTTAAGTATAAATCAGGTCATGTACTTACTGATATTGCAGTGAAGAGAGCAGGTGATCAAGACTTGTTAATCCGATAATATTTTGTAACCTTAAACAGGTATTTTTGGTCACTAATTTCGTAACTCTTATTCAATTAACAGTGTTCTTAGTGTACGACTTAGAGAAGGATATTCAATTCAAGACGTGTCTATAACCAAAGGTAAGCAGAGCACATTGCCTACAAATTACAGTGTCTAATATACGGTAAATATAGAGTATACCTTGTGGTAGCAGAGCACAGCGTCTCTGACATTCAGTACAAGAAAGTGTGTTAGTTGAAAAGGGCGTGGTCTCTGGTGCAAGTGCTTTACCTACCAGTCTCGAACAACCGCAAATGACTTTTTTTAGCCCTGGAACTAGTGCTGTATCACATCCTCTCAAAGTTTGGGAATGCTCACAGCGCAGCTTGTTTCTTTTTCCTTTTTCTTTTTTTGTCAGTAAGCCAAAAGACCTAATCAGTGTGTTCTCTTGTACTTTGTGAATTTTTTCTTTCGTTAAGGTGGAAAGCAACTACAAGTGACGCTGACAATCCCTTGGAAACATAACGTGCAGATTGAGTATTTGGCGCTTTCTGTAAGTGGATTTATCACACGCTGTTTACGTTTTCTAGCTATTCCATTTCCTATTCATTAGTTTTAGATCCGGAGTGTAAATGCTAAAGCTTTGTTGGGAGAAACAGTAAGAGTTATAGTACTGTCCCAACGTAAGCACTTCTGAAGGGTATCACTTTGTGGTAGAAACAACTTTGGAGTAGAATTCTTTGTAATAATACTTATAAAAAATGCACTTTGAGTGTCCATGTATTCAGGACTAGAGCGCTAATGGAGGACACTATTCTAATTTTTACGTCACATTCTGGTGACAGGGCCGCTATTTTACGTGGTCATCCGAGCCATGGGAAGGTCTACCCGTTTTCAGGGCAAAGGGAGGACCTTCATTTCTCAGTTATTTTAAGACCCTGAGTGTTGGTCCGGCCCAGGGAATCGAACCCACAACCTCCCGCTCTGCAGTTTAGCGCTCTACCGACTGAGCTAATCTTACTGCGGTAAAAAATTGCATTTCAAATGACACTTTTATAAAATGCTTGTAGCCTGTGTACAGACCCCCCCCCCCCTCCCCTCAGGAAACCTTCTCCGATTTTTCCTGAAGGGATGGGGGCCTGTACACAGGCTAAATGCTTGTGGTGATCTTATTTTTTGTTTGCTTTTGTAGGCGTGGCCTCTTACCCCTACCAAGTAAGTTATTAGGTCCTGTTTTTTTTTTTATTTAAATATCAACTCGGGGAAGGGGTTGAGCTGACAACGGCATTCTATTTTCTCGCCTTCGCCTTATACATGACTGCCCGTGGATCCACGTCAAACGTTGGAGTTCACATGTGATTATATTGCTAATGAGCGAAATCTAGTGTTTTTACTCATTAACGTTTTAACTTTTGGTTCGTTGCATAAGTTCAGCGTTTGAACCTGATGCTAGTAAAAAAATCGCCAATTCTTGGGGCCCTCCATGCGTTTTCCCTGCGGTAAATGGAAGTTTCATTATGATTTTGCTTTTCACGGTGCTCAGTCTCACTCGGTCAAATTTCTTAACTGTGTCAATCCTGTCAACTCTGTTACAGACCTCTCTGTCTGCCCCCTCCCCCCGAATGAACTAAATTTCCTCATTTCTTCATAATCCTAAATGGGTAAAGCTAACGTTACCGGTATCAGTCAAGTGCATGAAAAATCGAGTCACGCGAGGAAATGCAACACGCGTGGTGTCACGCGTCATGGTTTCTTGTGCTCGTGATTTTTTTCTTGTAGTCTGCGAAACACTTCAGTATGTGGAAGATCACTTCACGCTAGGCGATTCAATATACGTGGTACCACGTATCGCTTTTTCTCGCGCACTAGCGCGCGTTCCTCTCGTGGTCTACAGCTCATTCTGCATAATTGCATTTTTCTTGTCTAGCCGCATCACTCATGTTGAAGTAACAATAGAGGCACCTTATGAGTTCCTTCATGATGTTCTTTATCCAACCAAACAACCCTTCAGTAGTGGTTACAGGTAAAATGACTTGCTCATTCTACACTTTGGTAAATAAGTCGACAAAGATTGTAAAGGTTGTAGAGATCGTAACGAAAGCAGCAATCGTAACGATCATAGCAGTGGTAACTACCTTAATAATCGTGACCATCTTAGCAATCGTAGCGATCGTAGTGATTGTATCGCGGAATGTAGCGATCGTAACGATCGTAACGACAGCAATTGCTAAGATAGACTTAAGTGTCATTTTAATGCTTGTTTCTATATGATTACTAGTCAGTCATTTTGTTTAATAGCTAAAGATAGCTTGACCTGGCGTTTTATAGGAATAGATGGTGGATAATTGTCGTTAACTGTGAAATTGTCGTCATAGGTTATTCTTAGATGTGTTTCTTTTCCCTTCCAGAACCCTGGTGGTCCGACGATTTCGCCAAACAATGAAAAGGTAACAAAAGCAGGATGTGTTGTGTAGTGATTTCAACACGCGTCTCAGTTTAGTTCATGGAAGATGGGTGAAATAGCATACTATTGAACTTCAGTGAAAAAAGGGTCAGGATGATGTCCAAATTTGACAGCATTGCAGCCTAAAGATCGCCTATTGTAATGGTCTATTTTAATCACACACGAGAAAGTATGGTTCAAAATCTTTTCAAATTTCACTGCGCATAATAATTTGCTTGAATGCTCTCTTTTACATGTAACGTGAGTATTTTTTTATTTCTCTTTCCCTTTAAGTACGTTCTGTGCTCATTCAGAAGTTTAGGCTATAGAACGACACAATAGTGCATATATTGACTTGGTATATCGAGTGTCACCCGAAATGTAACTCTGTTGGCTTCCACCAAACTCACAAATCAGTGAGTTGTACCGTAAAATTCCGAAAATAAGCCCCGGTGCTTATAGCTTTCAAAGACCCTTTTTGAGGGGCTTATTTTTGGAGGGGCTTATATTCGGAGAGGCTTATCTACGTATGGAAAATTGCTTTTCAAAATCGACTGGGCTAGTCTTATAGTTAGAAGTAAATTTACCGTTTGTGCTTTGTTTTACTTTGTATTTGAGGGCAATTTTCCAAGTACAAGCCCCCGGGGGGCTTATAATTTTTTTTTTTTTTTTTGGGGGGGGGGGGGTTTTAACCGAGGGTTTTTTGCGTTACCGGTTTGGGGGGCTTATTTTCGGAATTTTACGGTATGGTCACCAATGTCAAGATGGCATTTGACATTTGCCAATTTAAAAACGAATGCGTCGCGCAATTGTTTCTGGGATTGTTACTGAGGACTCGCCAGTCAGCTATTGGCCAATTTTTTCGTTGCCCCTAGTAACAATCCCAGAAGCCTTTG